ATATTAGGCCACCCCCCCTAATGTAGCCAATCCTCCAAGAGCTTACAGAGCTCTTCTTACAGGAGCTACTGTAAGCTCCTGGAGGATTGGCTACATTAGGGGTGTGTTGCCTAATATGCAATGGAGTACCTGCTACAAAAAAAGCCCTGCGAGAAGCCCCACTGTCCATACCCACAGGGGCGGGGGACAGGCACCCCACCAGTTCTTTTCCGACTGCTGCACTGATCAGATGTTCTCCTTGCCTCAGCTGGTGAATTTACCAGGTTTTTTTAGTCAGCTCTTCATTTTTCTTCACCCCTTCTTTGTACCTAGCCAAAGGGGGGGGGGGGGGGGAGACACAGAGGAGACTGAGACCTACGGCCCCTCCGCCTCCCCTGTTCCAGACTGCATGCAACAAGATCTCCCCCTCCCTCGCTCTTTTTGCCCCCTCTAGGCCCAGAACCGCCAAGTCCCCCACTGCGCACCTCCTGGGGGTCAACGGCCACTTTCAGCCGGATGGGGGAGCCGTCGTCCATGAAGTCCTCTGCCTCCACCAGCAGGGGGCGCCCTGGCTCTCCCCGGCGCCGGGCGAAGTCCCGCAGCATTTCCTGCACGGCCACTTCCGCGTTGGCCTGGTGGGGGGGGGGGAGAAGGATGGAGAGGTGTGACACTGCACAGGGAAGGAGGGGTCTGTGGGGCAGCACAGACACATTCACCCACCCTGCCAGCTGAATCGGGGGGGGGGCTGTTGTGGGAAGCTTGCGCCCACAGGCACAGGGAGCAAGGAGGAGACCCTTCCCTCCCCTGGACTGTGGTCACAACATCCAGCATAGCTGCCTCTCCCGGGACCAAAGAGCTATTTTGCCCTGCTCCCAAAGTCGCTCATCCAAAAATTGGTGAATTCAATACGGAAAAGTAGACAATGGATGTTTCAGAAGAGATCAACAGGACCACGGCTAAATCATAAAAGCCTAATTGTAATGTACGGCTGCGAGAGATGGACCATAAGGAAGGCCGAGCGCCGAAGAATAGATATGTTTGAATTATGGTGCTGGAGAAGACTCTAGAGAGTCCCCTGGACTGCAAGGAGATCAAATCAGTCAATCCTAAAAGAAATCCCCTATATGCCGCTATATAAATCAATGGTGTGACCTCATTTGGAATACTGTGTGCAATTCTGGTCACCACACCTCAAAAAGGATATTATAGCTTTGGAAAAAGTGCAGAAAAGGGCAACTCGAATGATAAAAGGGTTGGAACACTTTCCCTATGAGGAAAGGTTAAAGCGCTTGAGGCTCTTTAGCTTGGAGAAACGAGGACTGAGGGGTGACATGAACGAGGTTTATAAGATTATGCATGGGATAGAGCAGGTAGGGAAAGAGGTACTTTTCTCCCTTTCTCACAATACAAGAACTCCTTGTGGGGACTCCCTGAGAACTCCTTGTGGGTACTCCATGAAATTGCTGAGCGGTCGGGTGAGAACGGATAAAAGGAAGTACTTCTTCACCCAGAGAGTGATGAACACATGGAATAAAGCATATGGAGCAGAGGTCCATCAGTGGCTATTAGCCACAAGGTATGGATAGGGGCTCTGGGGCAAGTAATGCTCTGTCTTCTTGGTGCTTGGGGGGGGTCAACAGTGGGAGGGCTTCTAATGTCCTGGCCCCACTGGTGGACCTCCTGATGGCATTGGTATTTCTGGCCACTGTGTGACAGACAGAGTGTTGGACTGGATGGGCCTTTGGCCTGATCCAACATTGGCATCTCTTATGTGCTTATGTTCTTATGTTCTTAAATCAACCCCAACTGTCTCCTGGAAGGAGGAAGCTGCAGATGGCAGGCTCAAAGAGAAACCCCCTTTTAAGAAGCAAGGTCTACTTCCTTTGCAAGGGAATTTGGAACCAGCCAAGTGGGCCCTCCTTACCTGGATGTGAGCCATGTATGCCTGCACCACCTCCAGCCCATAGTGGCCAATCAGCTCATTCACCAGCTGGATTCCCTTCTGATTGGCTGCCACCTGAGCACACAGGTCAGAGAGGTTGTCGTGGAGACTGCGGGTGCCGCTACTGCCCGGGGTCTGCCCTGGAGCCATCAGGGCCTGCGTGACCTCTGCAAGAGAGACGGAAATCAAAAGGGGCTCCAGAATCCACCCTGTTCCAAGGTCAGCCGAGTACTTGATCATTTATTTATTAGATATTTTTAGTCGCCACTCACCCAAAGGGTCTCGTGGCGACTTACAACATTAAAACCAATAAGGTGAAACCAACATAAAACAAATTTTAAAAATACTAACATTAAAATATGTGGCTATCATCCTACCACTATGGAAACGCCCAAACACACGCTTACCCCCCCCCCCAAGGCCAATGTAAACCATTCAGCTTTGCATGCCCTGGGGAAACGGAACAAGTCTGGCAGGGCACGGGTGTCACCCGAAAGTGCCTTCCTCAGGGTGGGGGCTGCAACGGAGAAGGCCCTTCCCCCGGTGACAGCTAAACGAGACATCCTGGGGCCAGGCACCGGCAAGAGGCCCCTAGAGGATGACCGAAGGGGGCAGCAGGGGTTGTGACGGGAGAGGCGGTCCTGCAGGTATGAGGGTCCCAGACCACTGGAGGCTCTGGAGGTCAACACCAACACCTCGATTCGGATCCGGAGGCTAACTGGTGGCCAGTGCAGCTGCAGCAGAACTGGAGTAACACGAGCAGATGGTGACGGGCCAGTCAGCAACCGGGCAGCTGCCTTCTGGACCACCTGCAGTTTCCTAAGTGTTTTCAGGGGTGGCCCTACAGAGCGAACTGCAGTAGTCCAGTCAGGAGGTGACGGTTGCATGGATCGATGTGGCAAGGTCCAACTCAGACAGAAACGGAGGCAGCTGGCGGGCCTGGAGCAGGTGAAAAAATGCTGACCCTGCTCCCATGAACACTGGTTTACAGGGTCCACAGTGGGGTCAGCTGGACACCATCCGAGTCTTGGGAGCGGCCCCTCCGACTAGCATCTCGGTCTTGCCCAGCCACACGGCCTCCGTCTGGGATGGATTCCCCTTCAGCCAGCTCCCCCTTAACCATTCGACCACCGCATCCAGGCCCTGGGAGCGTGCCGAGAGCCCCGCTGCCGCCGGTTGCTCATCCAGCAGGGGGGAGAGCTGAGTGTCATCGGCATATTGGTGGCCCCCAACTCCAGAGGCCTCCCAGCGATCTTGGCATATATAGGAGAGGAGGAGGATATTGGATTTATCCCCCATGGCCCTTCACTACCCGAAGGTGTCTCAGAGCGGCTGACAGACTCCTTTCCCTTCCCCTCCCCACAACAGGCACCCTCCTGTGAGGTAGGTGGGGCTGAGAGAGCTCTTGACAGAAACTGTTCTTTTTCAAGGACAGCTCTGAGAGAACTGGGACTGACCCAAGGTCATCCAGCCAGGTGCAAGTGGAGGAGTGGGGAATCAAACCCGGTTCTCCCCGATTGGAGTCCGCGCACTTCACCACGACCCCAAACTGGGTCTGCCCAAGAAGAAGAGATGAGATGGGATTCATACCCCATGGCCCTTCACTACCCAAAGGTGTCTCCAAGCAGTTGACAAATGCCTTTCCCTTCCCCTCCCCACAACAGACAGACACCCTGTGAGGTAGGTGGGGCTGAGAGAGCTCTTGACAGAAACTGTTCTTTCTCAAGGACAGCTCTGAGAGAACTGGGACTGACCCAAGGTCACACCAGCAGGTGCAAGTGGAGGAGTGGGGAATCAAAACCGGTTCTCCCAGATTAGAGTCCCCGCACTTAACCACGGCACCAAACTGGCTAAATAGCATCAGAGAGAGGATGCTGTGGGACCCCACTATTCAGGTCTTGTTGGGAAGACTTCTCCTCCCTGATAGTGACTCTGAGAGCCTCTCTGAAGGAACGAGAAAAACCAACTAAGGGCCGTTCCCCTCACCCCTGGAGGGGCAAAGCGGTCGGATCAGGGCCAGACGGTCAACTGCATTGAAACAATAGAGGCGGGGGAGAAGAAGAAGAGATTGGATTCATACCCCCCCTTTCACTACCTAAAGGTGTCTCAGAGCGGCTTACAGACTCCTTTCCCTTCCCCTCCCCACAACAGACACCCTGTGAGGTAGGCGGGGCTGAGACAGCTCTTGACAGAAACTGCTCTTTTTTCAAGAACAGCTCTGAGAGAACTACGGCTTGCCCAAGGTCATCCAGCCAGGTGCAAGTGGAGGAGGAGTGGGGAATCAAACCCGGTTCTCCCAGATTAGAGTCCGCACACTTAACCACGACACCAAACTGGGAGGGGCAGTGGCCCCCCCCCCAGCCCAGCTATCACCCGAGGACCCACCCTCCTCTTGGAAGACTCCGTCCTTGACTAGCTTGAAGGAAATGAAGACGGCGCCCTCTTCCTGCAAGGAGTGGGAGTGCGGGGGCATCGAGCCCGGCGTGATGCCCCCAATGTCAGCGTGGTGCCCCCGGCTGGCCACGAAGAACACGGGCCTCGGCTCCCCCGGCCAGAACACCTGCAATGGGACGGGAAGGCTGGACGGAGGGCCCCGGAGGCACCTGCCGAGGGCACAGTGAGTGCCGGCAGTGCCACCGGCCGAGTTCCAAAGGGCAGCAGCGCCAGCTCTGACTGAGGGCGGGCAGAGGGCTCTGTGCCCACAGGGAGGGCAGGAGACGCGGACACGTGGGCTGCCAGGCCCCAGAGCACAACGCCAGCACCGTGCCAGGCCCATTACCCTTCCCCCCCGAACGGCCCCTGCCCCCAGGGGCCGGCTACAGCAGCCAACGGCTTCTGGCCCCCGCCCCCCTCCTGCGGCGACACGCCAGCTCACCGGGGTGATGACCGTCAGATCAGGCAGGTGGCTGCCGCCGGCACACGGGTGGTTGCTCAGGATCACGTCCCCCTCACGGAGGTCGGAGCCCAGGTTCTGGATCTGGAAGGGCACCGGGGGAGGAGGGAGAGGAGGTCTGGGAAGCCGGAGGCCGCAGGGCGGGAAGCCCAGAAAGCCCCCCGGCCCACTCTGCCCCTCCCCCCCACACCCAAAAGGCCACACACGACCGAGACCCCCTCGCACCAGAAGCAGGGGCACACGGCAGGACGGGCACCCTCGGAGCACATGCTTCCGTCGCTCGAGCAAACCAGCCAAGCCACGCTCCCCCACACACACGCCCCAGATCTCCCTCGCTACTCTTTCCTGAAGGACACAGAAAGAGCCAGAGAACCAACGAGAGACCTTCCTGAGGAAACTGAATTGGGGTCCTATTTCAGGAGGGACTGGCCCCCACCCCGCCCCGGTGACAATGGCGTAGACCGGGGTCCCCAACCTCTTCCAGCCTGCGAGCGTCCTTGGAATTCTGACCCAGGGTGGTGGTGGTGGCAGTCACCACAAGATGGCTGCTGAGGGGGGTGGAGACAAACACAAAATGGCTGCCACGGGAAGCGAGGCCGCACACACACACACAGAGGAGGCGCATGTGCAGTGCCAAAGAGAGGTAATCAAAACATGAGAAGAAGAGAGAAGAGATTGGACTTATACCCCCTGGCCCTTCACTCCCCAAAGGAGTCTCAGAGTGGCTTACAATCTCCTTCCCTTCCCCTCCTCACAACAGACACCCTGGGAGGTAGGTGGGGCTGAGAGAGCTCTGACAGAAACTGCTCTTTTTCAAGAGCAGCTCTTGTCAGAACTAGGGCTTGCCCAAGGTCATCCAGCCAGGTGCAAGTGGAGGAGGGGGGGGGAATCAAACCCGGTTCTCCCAGACTAGAGTTCGCGCACTTAACTGCTGCACCAAACATGCCCACTGGGAAAGAGGGTGAGAGGGAATAAAACGAACACAGACAACCCAATCAGAAGCCCTGCTAGACAAGAGGGCCTCCTGACTCCGCCCACTTTCTGGAAACACTTGGTGGGTGCCAAGGAAAGTGTTGGTGGGCGCCATGTTGGGGACCCGTGGCTTAGATGCGGGCGCTGAGGGGCCAGGACTCCTGGGCCCCTCTCCTCCCTGGGCGGCGGGGAAGAAGCACGAGACCAACCCAGCCCTGGCCGGAGGGCACGAGTGGGGGAGGGCAGCACGCCAGACGCCTCACCTGGAACTGCACGGTCTCTTGCATGGCGCCCAGATGGACCGGGATGTGGGGGGCGTTGGACACCAGCCCCCCGTCCGGCCCGAAGAGGGCGCAGGAGAAGTCCAGCCTCTCCTTGATGTTGGTGGAGATGGCCGTGCGCTGCAGGATGCGTCCCATCTGCTCTGTTGGGGGGACAGGGTCACCGGGTGGGTGGCTGGCTGGCTGCCCCGGCCTGGGCAGGACCGCCCCGCCCCACCCCGCCCCTCCGTGGGCCCCGCCCTCACCTGCGATGCTCATGAAGCGGTGGGAGAAGATGGAGAGCTGGACGGGGTCTCGCTGGGGGCCGACGGGACGGACCGCCCCAGAGCCCACCGTGATGCAGATGTCGCCGAGGCGGGTCACGGCCGCTGTGCAGCCCGGCTCCACCAGGATGGTGCTGGGGGGGGGGACAGGAAGGGCAGGCATGAGCAGCAATGGCCCACCCCCTCCCCTCTCCCCCAAGCCCCTCCCCTTGGGACCGGAGAAGCCCCCCGCCCCCTCACCTGTTTGGGTCGATCAGGATGCTGGGCCCGGGGATGCAGTGGCCCCAGGAGAGGTCCTCCAGCAGGTAGACGCGGGTCTCCTGGTAGCCCCCCTCGAAATAGCAGGAAGTCACCTGCAAGGCGGGAAAGGCCTCCTGACGCCACAGGCAACTAATCGGAGGAATCTGCTACTGGAGGAGGCAGCCATGGCCACAAGGAGCATAAACCCTTTTTAAAGGGGGATAAATTAGACTGATTCGTGGATGGGAGAGAGAGGCCCGTCAGTGGCTATGCGCCATGGTGACTCAAGGGAACCTCCACGTCCAGAGGCAGTCAGCCGCTGAATCTCAGTGCCAGGAGGCGAGCCAGTGCTCCCTCTAAGCTCTGGAGTCTTGTGAGTAAAAATTCTCATCTGTGAACTGCTGGCATTAAAGTTGTAAGCGGGTGATTTAGCTACTGCATAAATTAGTTTGCTCTGCAGCTCCATCCTTCTAGAGCTAAGACGTGTGAGCCAGAGGCTAAAAAACTGTGAGCTGGCTCACACTGACTCAGCTTAGAGGGAATGCTGGAGGCAACCCCAGGGGAAGGCCTCGGTTCTTCTGGCCACTTTTCAGCCCTCCAGAGGAATGGGGGACTAGATGGACGACTGGCCCTCTTCCTAGAACTCCACAGTTTGAATGCCATCTAAAAATGGCTGAGACAAATGAGTTCTGCCCCGCCCCTCCGGGCACCCCACAGGTTGGCCCGGCAAAGGCCCTCCCTTGCAAGCACCCAACTGCTCGGACAGGCAGCCGCCCCCGTCTAACTCTTCCCAGAGGCCTGCCGGATGCCAAGCCTGGAGACACAAGAAGCAGAGAGGAGGAGTACAGGGACATTTCTCCTTGCAGTGGAAATGAGCTGGGTCTGGGGGTGAGACGTGGAGCGGCCAAGTTTGCAGATGACGCAAACTGACTCAGGATGGTGAAAACCAAGGATGACCGTGAAGAGCTCCAGGAGGGTCTCCACAAATCCTCCAGCTTTCCAACCTTTCTCCAACCAGCTTTGCTGTGAGGTTTGCAAGAGATCACAGTGAAGCCAGGACGGTGCCCTGCCCACCGGGGAGGCCAGATTAGGATTTTCCTACTCACGTGGCAGCCATTCACTCCCCCTTCCATCAGCGGGCTCGGTTTTTTAAAAATCAACAACTGAAAAGTGTTACATCAGCGTAACATTGGAACAATGTGTTGATTGGGCTCTATGAATTTCCAGTTTTTTAAAGGAAACCTCTAGCCCCCTTTGTTGTGGAGGTATAAGGGAAAAGGCATCCCTTACAGCAGAGAAGACTGGGAACTTTTAAAAAAACCTGAAGCACAAAACTTAGAAAACATAAGAACATAAGAGAAGCCAACGTTGGATCAGGCCAATGGCCCATCCAGTCCAACACTCTGTCTGTCACACAGGGGCCAACGATACCAGGTGCCATCAGGAGGTCCAGCAGTGGGGCCAGGACACTAGGAGCCCTCCCACTCTTGCCCCCCCAGTACCAAGAATACAGAGCATCCCTTGCCCCAGACTGTGAGTTCCTTGTGGCTAATAGCCACTGATGGACCTCTGCTCCATATGTTTATCCAATTCATAAGACCATAAGAGAAGCCAATATTGGATCAGGCCAATGGCCCATCCAGTCCAACACTCTGTGTCACACAGTGGCCAAAAATACCAGATGCCATCAGGAGGTCCAACAGTTGGGCAGGAACTCCAGAAGCCCTCCCACTGTTGCCCCCCCCCCCCAGCACCAAGAATACAGAGCATCACTTGCCCCAGACTGAGAGTTCCTATCTATATCTTGTGGCTAATAGGGGCCACTGATGGACCTCTGCTCCATATAAGAACATAAGAAAAGCCAGTGTTGGATCAGGCCAAAGGCCCATCTAGTCCAACACTCTGTCTGCCGGACAGTGGCCAAAAATACCAGGTGACATCAGGAAATCCAGCAGTGGGGCCAGGACACTAGGAGCCCTCCCACTGCTGCCCCGCCCCCCAAGCACCAAGAAGACAGAGCATCCCTTGCCCCAGACAAAGAGTCCCTATCTATACCTTCTGGCCCATAGCCACCGATGGACCTCTGCTCCATATGTTGATCCAATTCTCTCTTATAAGAACACAAGAGAAGCCCGTGTTGGATCAGGGCACTGGCCCATCCATTCCAACACTCTTGTCACACAGTGGCCAGAAATACCAGGGGCCATCAGGAGGTCCAGCAGTGGGGCCAGGACACTAGGAGCCCTCCCACTGTTGCCCCCCCTCCCAAGCACCAAGAGAATACAGAGCATCACTTGCCCCAGACCGAGAGTACCTGTCTATACCTTATGGCTAATAGCCACCTCTGCTCCAGATGCTTATCCAATTCCCCCCTGCTTATCCAATTCCCCCCTGAAGCTGTCCATGCTTGTAGTATGTCATAGATATTGCCACAATGTCATATTGATATAATGAAATTCAATTTACTTTTTTCAAAAAATTGAAAGGGCCCCCCAGGGCAAGGGGGGGATGGCTGTGCTGGGGGGGGGCTGAAGTGGGGAACCTGCAAGGAAAGCTGCCACGTGGGAGCCCCACTGGAGCCATGCTTCATCAGCAGCCACGACGGCAACGGGGAAGCCGCCCCCCGGCAACAGGGAGAGGCCACAAGGGACCCAACCTCTACTGCCGATGCCCTGGGGAAGGGGAAGGCGGACTGGATGGGACCCTTTTCCACGCAGGGCCTGGGGGTGGGGGGGTGAGAGCGCAGAGCCCCTCACCTTCTCCACGCGGGCGGCCCCTTTGCTGGCAGCGACCGCCTCCTCCTGGCCCAGCCCGGTCGTGGCCGTGCCCCTCACCCGGACGTCATCCACCAGGACGGCCCGGCTGGGGATGGTGAAGCCAAACTCCTGCAGGTATCTGACGGGAGCAGAGTGTCAAGAGACAAGTGGCTGCTGTGCACGTCCCCTGCCCGGCCCCAGGCGACCGGAGGGGAGGGGGCCACTCACCGGGCAGCGAAGGAAGCCCCGAAGTCGCCGGTGCGGCAGGAGGCGGGCGTGGCCGGGTAGCCCTTAGCCGAGCACATCAGCGCGCAGTCCGTCCGCTCGTAACGCAGGTGGAGGAAGGCCTCCGTGATGATCTGGGCTCTGCTGGGACGGGCAGGGGAGGGGAGAGCCGGTTCGGTGTCGTGGTCGAGTGCGCAGAGGACTCTAATCTGGGAGAACCGGGTTTGATTCCCCACTCCTCCTCCACTTGCACCTTGCTGGGTGACCTTGGGCCAGTCACAAGTTCTCTCAGAGCTGTTCTCTCAAGGACAGTTCTCTCAGAGCTCTCTCAGCCCCACCGACCTCACGGGGTGTCTGTTGTGGGGAGGGGTGTCAGGTAGCCCTGTCAGGGATCTGGAATGTGGAGCGGCACCCTCCTCCTCTTTCTCAGCTCTTCCCTGTCCAGCTACTGTGCGCTATCTCTAGCTTGACCTTGTAGTCTCCAGCTGCATTCTATTCGGCTGGGAAAAGTAACGGCTTTTCGCCGTGCCCACTTGCTTTTGCCTCCGCGCGCGAACCATAATAATTGGCTTCAGCTCACCGGCACGGGGGGGGGGGGGGAGATGTTTGATTTCACTATAAGTCAGAGAGGCCCTAGTACTGACGGCCACTCCTGACACAAGCTGTACACGAGTTCTTTAGTGCTGGAACCACTAATAAAGCAGTTTTCTTCTTATGAAGCCCTGCGTGGTGTGACCTGACTAAGAAGCCTGAGAAGGGGAAGGGGTAGGAGTTTGTGAGCCGCTCTGAGACTCCGAGTGAAGGGCAAGGGGAATAAATCCAGTCTCCTCCTTCTCCTCCTCTTCTTCTTCCAGCCAGACCTTTCCCCCACCGCCCAGAGTGCTGGAGCGAGGGCAGCCAAAGGGCCAGTCGCCCAGAGAGACCATGCCAGGGCCCCCGCCAACCCCTCCAGGCACCCCGCAGGCAGCAGCGGCCCCAGCCTACCCCACTTCCCCAGCCACCCGACCTGTGCGCCCCTACCTGGAGAATCCCTGGGCCTCCAGAGCCCGGACGCACTCCTGCTCCAGGGCTGCCACGCGCTCGTCCAGCCGGGCGTAGGCCCCCGGGGCATAGGGCAGGGCGCAGGGCTCCTGGGCTTCATGCACCACGTCGGCTAGAGCCAGCCCGTAGGCCGACAGGATCCCGCTGTACCTGCGCAGAGGAGGAGGAGGAGCAGGAGGGGGTCGGCGGCCTCGCCTTCCAGCCCCCCGGCCCCCCCAGCCATCCCCTCTGGGTTCCCCCCGGGGGGAGGAGAGCCACGGCAGGGGGGGGGCACCACATGGCCCTGCCCGCCTCCTGCCCGCCAAAAGAAGCAAACCCACATGCAGCCCCCTTCCCCCTCCCGGGGCCCCTCTCCCAGGACATCCCTAATGTGCGGGTGGGTCTGCCTTGGCCTCCGCTTGAAGGGCAGAAGGAATCCCCACCCCCACCCCCCAGTCTGGGGTGTGTGTGCACAACTCAGTCCCCTGAGATATCCAGCCTAAAGACGGCTGATCTCCCACAAGGAACCACAACTCAGGGATTGCAACAGTTGGGGACCCTGGAGCAGGGCAGGAGTCATTTCATAAAAGAAACAACAACAACGATCATCATCCGGGGTCATTTCCTGCAGGAGCGCACAGGAGCGGAGCTCCGACAGTAAAGAGCCCAAGGGGTGGGCACATGCAACAAGCCCCACCCCCTGCTCCCAGCAGCCCTCAGTCAGAGCAAGAAGCAGCCAGGTAAGTTGCAGAGCTCCCCCCTGGCCCCTCGGTCCAAAACAGTTGCCCTGGTAACGGCAAAACTTAAAGGTCCAGTGGCACCTTTAAGACCAAGTTTTACTCAGGTACGAGCTCTCCCCCCTCTGCGAGGACAGATCTGCACGTTCCCCCCCCCCCATAGCTAGCCATCCAAAACAGTCCAGCGGAGCCTGAGCAGTGGGCGTTGCCTTCTGACACACTTCCGGTGAGGTCAGGGGGTGTGGCATATGCAAATAAGTTATGCTAATGAGTTGTGCTAAAGAGCTCCTGCGCCTCTTTTTCTACGAAATGACCCCTGGAGCTGGGTCATGGCTAGCCACACTGGGAGTGCAGGACCTTAGGCTGGAAAGCACTCTGCACATTCCCAGAGGGATTCCCAGCAATGAATGCACGCAAGTTGGCATCTCAAATCAATTCTCAGGCAAGGGGACATCCAGCTTATTCTACTGCGGGTAGGAAATGTTACCCTCAGCCAGGAACAAAGTCTAAGCCGGGGGGGTGAGTGTGCAGACTCCCCCCCACCTTCACCTCCTGCTGCAAGCTTCAGTCCCCCATCCCCCCCCTCCCAGGCCACGTACTTGTGGATGAAGACTTTGCTCATGCCCAGGGTCCGAGCGATGGCACAGGCGTGCTGCCCGCCGGCACCGCCAAAACAGGCCAGGATGTGACGCGACGTGTCGTGGCCCCGTGCCTGCCGAGACAGAGGGAGGGAAACCATCAGGGGCCGCACCAGTCAGGGCAGTACCTCCACCCACACGTGTGGGGCTTGGGACAGAGGGCCCCCTCACGGCTGGGCCTCCCCCTGGGCCAGACTCCCTCGCAGGGTGCCCAAGCCCTGCGCCGCGGGCATCTTCTAAGGCGAGGGGGGGCAGGAGAGAAAAAGAAGAAGAGATTGGATGTATACCCCATGGCCCTTCGCTACCCAAAGGAGTCTCAGAGGGGCTTACAAACTCCTTTCCCTTCCCCTCCCCACGACAGGCACCCTCCTGTGAGGGAGGTGGGGGCTGAGAGAGCTCTTGAGAGAAACGGCTCTTTTCTCAAGGACAGCTCTTATCAGAACGAGGGCTTGCCCAAGGTCATCCAGCCAGGTGCAAGTGGAGGAGTGGGGAATCAAACCCGGTCTTGGATTTGCTCGTTTGATTTTAACTGGAAAAAGAAAACAATTCTAGGAAGCTGTCCTCAACCACGAGGAAAAGGGGGTGTGGAAATGTTTCAGTTAATAAACAAACGGGGCCTGGAAGTCAAAGGAAACGCCGGCTCTCCCTGCTTCCCAGACAGGCCACGATCCACGTGACGCCACAACTGGGCCTTCCTGAGCAGTCCCGCCCTCCGAGCCCCCCGGCTGCAACCGGCTTGGAAGGGGCGGGCGGGACTCCGCATTGGGGGGGGCGGGGAGGCTCCTGGAGGGAACAAGAGCCATTCCTGCTTGAGGCCCCCCCCCCATGGCTACACTCTCCTCAAGGACCAGCACTCAGAAACGCCAGAAGCCAGGTCAACCCTGAATCTCCTGAGAAGCGGGAGAGCTCCCTTGGGGGCAGGCAGCCTGCCCCCACCTCCTCCACCTCCACCCCTGCCTTTCTGTTCCCGGGGAGAACACCGTCCTGCCCCCCCCCCACACACACACACCCCGATTCCCAAGTCACCAGAACAGGCTGCAGAGATTTCCCCACGCTTGGCTGAAGAGGAGCTGTCGGAAGGGGGTCCTTAGCAGCCTCCCCCCGCTTTCTCCTCCTCCACACACGCCCCTCAACCCGGCAGCCGCAGTTAGGCCGACGGCAGACCTCAGGAACCACCCAAAGGACACCCAGCGGGTGGAAGGGGGGGGCAGAGCCTGGGAAACATGCAGAGCTCACAACTCCATCTGGCCCGCTCAGACGGGCTGAGGAGACCCTTCCCACGACCTGTCGATGCCACCCCCCGGAAACCAGAGCCGGGGGAAGCCCTACCTGGGTCAAGGCCCGGATCGGCCGGCACATGGCTTCGTTGGCCACCCGGATGAAGCCCATGGCCACCTCCTCCACGCCGAGGGCCGAGCTGGGCCCCAGGTAGGCGTTGATGCTGGCGGTAAGCTCTCGAAAGGCCCGCAGGGCGGACTCTCGGGAGAGCGGCTGGTCCTCGTGGGGCCCAAAGATGCGGGGGAAATACTCGGGCAGGAGGCGGCCCAGGCACAGGTTGGCATCCGTCACGGTCAGGGGCCCTCCTGAAAAGGAGAGGGGGCAGGTGCTCATTGCGTGTCCACCCCCCGCCAGCCCCTCCCCCACGCGCCGCAGGGAACCCGCCTGCCTCACCTTTCCGGTAGCACGTGGGGCCAGGGTGGGCCCCAGCCGACTCGGGGCCAACCACAAAGAGCCCAGACCTGCAGTGCAAAAAGACGGAGACACCTGACTGCCAGGGCGACGGGGACAGGCGATGCCAAGGGACAGCTGCGTGCCCCCAAATGGGGCACGGAGGAAGGGACAAAGCAGGGGCCGGCTGCCTGGGCAGGGGGCGCCAAGGAGCTGGGGGGGGAACTTATTATTGGATCGTTATTTATACAGGACCCAGAAGGGTATGGTGCCCTGAATGGACCTGGGCAGCGGGGGCAGGCTTCCACCTTGCCAGGTGCGTGCCCAGGAGCTTGCGGGGCAGGGGTGTGAGAGGAGCCCCCCCAAGCACTTGAATAGCTCACATCTTATGGTGAAATCCCAAAACTGGTTGTTGCTTTGAGTCTTGATATACTTCAAAAGAGATAAAATGTTTTTTGGGTTGTTTTTTTTAACGATGTATTGTACAGGTTCTGCCTTACATTTTTTATCCACAGATGATTATAACATATCATAAATAATTTTATATTTTTTTGAAAAATATTTTTACAATAATTTCTACATATATAATAAATCATCTTAATCAAAAATATCAAACGTGCTTTCCACTTTAGAGGAGCTTGTAGCTCATCAAAAAAAAATTTTTTTTGCAGCGTTCATTGAAGAGAACTTTGGATTAAAACTTTGGGTAACAACTTTTCACTTCTTTGAGACTCTGTCTAATATGAGATTACTAGCATTGTAACCAATTCTGTTCTTGCTATCTTGTATGTTAGTATGTGGCAACCTTGTGCTGAAAATTATTGTTGAACTCCCTGAGGAAGATTCGGAAACAGAAGGATATCTGGACCTCTGTTGGAGGAAGACACGAGCACATGTTATAAAGAGACTTTAAGGAGTCCTCCCTCTTGAAACTTTATTTAACAGAGGAGGACTATTATTAAAGGTTGTACAATAGCTTTTGAGATTCTTGGAGATGATTTTTGATATTTTTGATTAAGATGATTTATTATATATGTAGAAATTATTGTAAAAGTATTTTTCAAAAAATATAAAATTATAAAATTATTTATTTATGATATGTTATAATCCTCTGTGCACGGTACTTGTCGTATGTTGGTTTTCCTACTTACCGTGGGTCCTTGTTTGGTTTTGTGAACTACATTTATTACGTACAACTTTGAATGCATCGAACTCTATTTCAGGACAGTAATGCGAACGTTTGGTATTATACTGTTTGTAATCGTTCAGCTCCATATGTATTGCCGTGTGGGGTTCTTTGCTTGAAAACGAATACGAAAGGTTAATCTCAGGAAAGGAGAGACCAAGGCCAGGTGCACACGGTGCTGGGGGGGCAGGCCAGCATGGCAGGACAGGGGGGGGAGGAGCCAGGAACCCACCTGAAGAAGAGCTGCGAGCCGCCCCCCGCAGCCACGGTGTTGATGTCCAGCTGTGGCGCCTGGATGCTGATGCCGGCCGTGGTGGCCTCAAAGACATGCTCGTACTCCCCCGCGTAGCGGCTCACATCCGTGGAGGTGCCTGTAGAGAGAGATATCAGGTCAGCCGTGCGTCCCCGTGTGTCCCTTGCCACCTGCCGCCACCAGGACTCCCCTCTGCTGCGGGGGAGAAGGCCCCGACTGTGTCCTGCGCCGCTTTCTTTACCCCTCCATCCGGGAAAGACTCTTCCAGGCCAGCCCCACCCCCCTCCCCCTGTGCAGCCGCCACTCACTCACCGCCCATGTCGAAGCCGATGACGGGCTGCCCACCCTCCTGGCGGTAGGTGGTGACCGCGTAGCCCACAACTCCACCGGCGGGGCCCGACAGGATGGCGCGAGAGCCACTGAAGGCCTCCATGGGGGTGAGGCCGCCGTCGGAACGCATGAACAGGACAGGCACGCCCTGCATGTGGGGGGGGGGAGCACAGGAGACCCCGTCAGAGATGGGGCCAGGCTGACCCACCTAACAAAGGGGGCAGAGACAACCCCTGAGCACCTTGTCCAAAGCGCAGTGTGACATCCAAATTGGGGAGGCTGCTTCTCCTTTAAAACACACTCTGTGTACTTGAACTTAGTAGATTTCCTGCTGCCACCAGGAATTAAACATTCCAAATCTCTCTCTTTTGGTAGAATGACCCAGTGTCTGGGCACTTCAGAGGACTACGTGGCCCTGAGGAAGGACTGTTCTGATTTCTGGGATAAGTTTAAACAAATAATGATTTATTTATAAAATAACAAAATGGGTTTCTGAGTATTCTTGAACTGTTGTTGAAGAAAGAAAATATAACTGACAAAGCTTGGCGTCACACACAGTCTCTCATACACCAAAACAACTCTGACAGGTTTATCTCTCTCATATATATAGCCACACAGGCTGAACTCTCTTGATCATAGTCACACAGGCTAAACTTTGCCTTTCTTAGCCACACAGGCTAAACCTTCTGCTGTAGCCACACAGGCTGAACTCTCTTGATCATAGCCACGCAGGCTGAACTCTCTTGCTCATAGCCACACAGGCTATACGCTTCCTCTGTCATACAGACTTTCACACCAACTCTCCACACTCGTCCCTTCAAGAACACTGAATCTCCTCACAGACACCCCTCCTCCCACTCTCTCAGTCATCAGCCAATCACATCCCACTTGTCTCCCTCTATCACTCTCCTTACACTACTGCAGTCACACTTGACATTTAAAGAAGCACACACAACAATATTACAGGCAGTATGCAGAGCTCTTAAGTGCCTTTCACTGCCCCAGCAGCAGCCACGGCTCGCCCTAGGAAACAACTCTCAATAATTGGCCCATCAATGAGTATGCAAAACGGGCTGGCTGTTTAATTACTATCCTCCAGTACAGTTCCGTGTAGGCCTTGGTCTCTCTCTCCTGCCGCTGCAGGGATACCAGGCAGGAAAGGTTCCGCAGACACCGCCAGCTCCTTTCCTGGAGGGGGGGGGCGAACACCAACGTGAGAAACAAGCCCAGAGAGCAGGTTCCCTTACTCTTCAGCGGGGCTGAGCTGACGAGCCGTGCAGCCGCCCGTCACCCCCCCTCAACCCAGCCTTCTCGACAGGGCTGTCGTGAAGACACAAAGGAGCGAGAAAGACCACAAGCACCACCCGGAGCTCCTGGCAGGGAGGACAGGGGACGGAAAACAGACCAGACACGGAATCCCCCCAGCCCATCGGAGGGCTTTCAGGCACAACCCCCCCCTTCACGCTCCCCCAGCAGCAACCGCGCTGCTCTGCTCTCTCAGGCTGGCTCCTGTGCAGCTCCCAAGCAAGGCCCCCCCAGGGCGGGAATGACCCAGGGCCCCCAGCCCCACCCCCACAGCATTGCCCGGGAGCCTCACAGAGAGGCCAGAGAAGAGGGGCCAAGACCAGTGTGGACAGAATGCCACCTGCACGGGGGTGTGTGTGTGTGTCTCGGGGGCAGTGTTCCCTCTGAGCTGAGTTAGTTTCTTAGCCTCCTCCGGCTCACACATTTTTTGTCAGGATGGCTCCGGAGCAAACTAATCTATGCGGCAGCCAAATCGCTCGCTCACAACTTCAATGCCAGCAGCTCACAGAGTAGAATTCTTGCTCACAAGACTCCACAGCTTACGGGGAGCATTGGTGTGGGGGGAGGTACAGAAAACCTCCCCACCCCGCCAAGCTGCACAGTGTGGCTCCCCTCCCATCTGAGACCCCACCCCTAGCCACTGCCTTTCCAAGGGTCATAGGCAGCCACTGTGGGAAGGCGAGAGAGAAACAGCGCCGTCAAGGGATCATTTCGTAGAAAAAGAGGTGCAGGAGCTCATTAGCATAACTCATTTGCATATGCCACACCCCCTGACATCACCAGAAGTGTGTCAGAAGGCAACACCCACCCCTCAGGCTCCATTGGACTGTTTTGGATGGCTAGCTATGGGGGGGGGACGTGCAGATCTGCCCTCACAGAGGAGGGAGAGCTCGTACCTGAATAAAACTTGGTCTTAAAGGTGCCACTGGACTGTTTTGGGCCAGGGGGGGCAGGGGGGGCCTCTGCAGCTTACCTGGCTGCTTCTTTCTCTGACTGAGGGCTGCTGGGAGCAGGGGGCGGGGCTTGTTGCATGTGCCTGCCCCCTGGGCTCTTTACTGCCGGAGCTCCGCTCCTGTGCGCTCCTGCAGGAAATGACCGCTGGCGCTGTCACCCTCTCTCTCTCCCCGGTGCTGCCGAGGAGGCCCCCCACCTCCACCCCGAGCCCCTACTCTTGCTGAAGAACAGGAGGAGAGCCTAGCTGGATCAGACCACCATGCCCCTGGCGACTGGCAAAGAATACTCGGGGCATTTATTCTGCTTGAGAAGATCTCTGCCATCTCCCCAGGAGCAAAGGCTCCGCTGGGTGGATCAAAAATCCCCGCCCCCCCCGTAAGACTGAGGGGCCCCCATCCTCCGAGGCTGGGGGATGCTTCTCCCGGGGGGGGGGTTAAACTCCAGGTTTACAGGGAAACCTGGGGAAATCTAAAGAGAAATATTGGGGTGGGATTCAACTGTCCCCAAGGCAGCCACAAGACAAATGGAGGGTAGGAGGGTGGGGGGAGAAACCAGAGGAAATGGGGGGTGGGGGTGGAGGAGTGGGATGCAACTCCCCTTCCCTGGGAGCCTCCAGAATTTGCGCCAGACCTCAACCCCCTGAAAATAGCCAAGCGACCAGATGCCGGAAGGGCTGAAGGAGGCCCACGAGAGAGACCCGAAGCATCTGTCTCCAAACACAGCAATGCAAAAGGGAGCCAATGAACTCCCACAGCCAGTAGAACAGCAACTCTTAAATAAAGATCAGCTGTGAGAAAAGGAATGGACGGACACCAACGCCCACCAGCAGCACCACCTGCATACCAGACACCTGCACCAGGCCGGCAATGGGAATGGGCTGGCAGGGGGCGCCAGAGAGGGCAAGACCAGCTGCCGAACAGCCCAGCGGCCCTGCAACACTGCCAGGCGCCAGCCAGGGCCCCATGACTCCAGAGCGGCAGGCCCCCAAAACAGCCCCCCGGGGGCAAAGATGGATTTCACAGCACCCCTCAGAGTCACAAGCACCACTGTGCGTAGTGGCTACAGGGCTGGGATCTGGGAGCCCCAAGTTCGAATCACCTCTGCCATGGAAGCAGGCCCGGTGATACTCTCAGCCTCGCCCACCTCACAGGGTTGTGGTGAGGATGACTCGGACAAGCGGTGAATGATGCCAGCTCCTCTGGGGAGAGAGGCAGGGTACGAATGAACACTGAGAGGCGATACGACAACCATCTTCGAGTACTCGAAGGGCTGTCATACAAAGGATGGTGCAGAGTTGTTTTCTGTTGGCCCAGAAGGCCGGACCAGAACCAACGGGTGGAAATTAAATCAGAAGAGTTTCTGGCTAAACATGAGGAAGAACTCCCTGACAGTTAAGAGCGTTCCTCAGTGGAACAGGCTTCCTCGGGAGGTGGTGGGCTCTCCTTCTCCGGAGGTTTTCAAGCAGAGCCTAGATGGCCCCATCTGACAGACATGCGGATTCTGTGAACTTGGGAAGATCATGAGAAGGGAGAGCAGCAGGAAGGATTGCCTCAGTGCTTAGTTCTCGTGGCCCCTTCTTACACGCTCAGGGGAATGCTGATGGCCACTTTGGGGTCAAGGAAGCAGTTTTTCTCCAGTCCGGTTTGGCCAGGGATCCTGGAGGTTTTTTGCCATCTTCTGGGCATGGAGCAGGGGGTCACTACGGGTGTGGAGGGGAAGATAGTTGTCGCATTTCCTGCCTTGTGCAGCGGGTTGGACTAGATGACCCTGGAGATCCCTCCCAACACTAGGGTTCTATGAAGTCAGTATATCTGCCCGGAGACTGGAAACAAAGCAGACCCTCTTCAAGGGCCTCAACAGCAACCCTGGAAGGGGGGGCGGGACTCCCACTGTGAGGGCCACCAGCGACCATTCCCAATGCACTTTTCATTTACCAAGTACTTTTAACTGCGCAACACTCCTGCAAAGTAGGGCGCATAAAGAGAGCCTCGAGAGAGAGAGCCACGGAACCAAACGGGCCAAAGGTGTCTGTTCTGGTCTGCCCACTCCCATGAAAGCCCAGCCCACCCCCTCCAGAGGAGACAAGGCTCCCCCCTTCTCACCTGGAGCTGGGAAGCAAAGCCGGCCCGAAACCCCTCCAGGTAGCGGCCGATGCAAGGGGTGAGGTAGGCGTCCGCACACGCTGTGTAGCCCCGGGGCACAGCCCGCACCATCGCCATCACCTCGGAGGAGAGCGACACCTGCCGGAAGCCCATTTCCCGGGCCAGGGCTCCCACCTGCTGCTCGTGGTTCGGCCACCTGTTGGGGACAGACGGGGCTCAGCAGGGCCAGCCGGAGGAGGCCCTGCAGAGAAGAGGCAGCGGACACCCCTTCCTACAGAGATCCCCGGAGCAGAGGTCATTTGGGAGGCTCCGAAAAGATATTGGGGGTGGTTTTTTTTTGAAAGACCAGGAGAGGCCTCTCTCCTCTGGCCCAGAACCCGAGCCCCCTCTTCCTGGTCCCCAAAACACCTCCAAATCAGGACTGCGTTTGTCCTGAAGAAAAAGATCGCACACGTGCCCCCACCCCTCACCCCCATGGACCCGCCGTTCCCTGCCTGCTCAAAGCAGCAAGGATAACCAAAGAGAGATCATGGGATAAGCGAGTAGAAAATTGTCAATGGCAAACATGATATTTTTTATGGAGGGAATATCACTCTTTGGGGATATTCAGTTTGGTGCCAGTTTGGTGTAGAGCCAGTTTGGCGTAGTGGTTAAGTGTGCGGACTCTAATCTGGGAGAACCGGGTTTGATTCCCCACTCCTCCTCCACGTGCAGCTGCTGGATGACCTTGGGTCAGTCACAAGCTCTGGCAAGAGCTGTCCTTGAAAAAGAGCAATTTGTGTCAGAGTCCTCTCAGCCCCACCCACCTCACAGGGCGTCTGTTGTGGGGAGGGAAGGGAAAGGAGTTTGTAAGCTGCTCTGAGACTCCAAGTGAAGGGCAGGGTATAAATCCAATCTCTTCTTCCTTCTTCTTCTTCTTTTATAGATTTTCAAAAAACAGATCAATATTAATACTAATACTAATACATTTCTGCACATTCATGCAAGTATAAACATCAAAAAGTGATTTCACAATGCTGACAAGCACAGTCCAGTCATCTAAAGTTCTTCCAGAGAATAAATCTTTGTCTGTCTTGTACTAATATTGGACTGCAGAACCACTCAAGTCTTTGAGGGAAGGCATACAGGGAGGAGGCTATGTAAGAGAAGGTTCCACTGAGCGTGAGCCTCCGTGCAGGGAGGCAGCGGGCAGAAGGACTCCCTGAGTCGACACATATCCTGTTCTGAAGAAGCCTTATGGAACAGGTGCTGGAGCCGGCCTGTCTGCAGATTCGTGACCTTTGTGCCATTCGTCTACAGTCCCAATATTAGTACAAGAAAGACACAAAGAAGATGTCTTCTCTGTGGGAACTTTAGATTATTGGACTGTGCTTGTCGACACTGTGGAATCATCTCGTGATGTTCATACTTGCATGAACGTTTGTTGTTTTTGTTCAGTCGCAGTCGAGTCCGACTCTTCGCGACCCCATGGACCACATCCCGCCAGGCCTTCCGGTCTTCCGCCGTCCTCTGAAGTTTGCTCAACTTCATGTTCGTTGCATCTATGACACTGTCTAACCACCTCAACCTTTGCCGTCCCCGTCTTCTTTGGCCTTCAATCTTTCCCAGCATCAGGGTCTTCTCCTCCAGGGAGTGCTCCCTTCTCATTGGGTGGCCAAAGTATTTGAGCTTCAGTTTCATTATCTGGCCTTCCAGGGAACAGTCAGGGTTGATTTCCTTTAGGATTCACCGATTTGATCTCCTTGCAGTCCAAGGGACTCTCAAGAGTTCTCTCCAGCACCATAATTCAAAAGCATCTATTCTTCGGCGCTCGGCCTTCCTTATGGTCCAACTCTCGCAGCCATTCAAGTACTACTGGGAATACCATTGCTTTGACCATATGGATTTTTGTTGGCAGGGTGATGTCTCTACTTTTTATTATGCTGTCTAGTTTGCTGTGTTTGCATGAATGCACAAAAATGTATTAGTATTAATACTGATCTATTTTTTGAAAATCTATAAAAGAGTGTAAATACATCACAGTTGCTACTGTCTATTTTCTGCTCAAAGCAGCAAGCAGCTCCTCCCCCCGTGCAGTGTTGGGGGGGGCAGCAGGAGGGTGGCACAGTCCGAACACCGAGGCCCTGCACCCCAGAGCCCCACATCCGGGGACTGACGTTCATCAGGCACCCAAAGTGAGTCACTCAGCAGTTTCTGGCACGAATTCCATTTCCGGTTGCAAGTGCCAGCACTGCTCCAGTGTGTGGGGAGTAACGCCCAAAACATAAAAACCACACATGGTTGGAGGGGGGAGAAAGGGGTGCATGCAGGGGAAAGACTCCAAGGCCAAAGGGAGCCAGGCAAGGTGTCGTCTTCGGCAGGAGAGAACACATTCAGACATGTGGCACATTCCTGGGACGCTCTCTGAGCCAGAAAGGACCAGAATGTTCCTGGGGAAGCAAAAATGAGCCTTGTGCCACCATGAGAACAGTGTGTGATGCACGGCGGGGGTGCCTGCTAGACATGCATTAATATGTTTGCTGCATTTCTTGTCCAACTAAGGTAGGACTGAAGAGTTCTAAAAGACCATGCAGGAAAGGAGGTCTCTGGAGAGGCGGCACTCCTGTTTTCTAAAGAAACAGACAGGATCGTGTGCCTCTTCTCAGCACTGCTCCCCACTGTGACGGGGGCTCCAGGTTCCAAAGAAAGCGGGCAAGGCCATTGCCTGGCAGGGCCTGTAGCTGGCAGGTAGTCCGGAGCCTCAAACAGCGGCTGCTGAGGGGCCGGGTCAGAGAGGAAGGCTGCTGGCTCTCCTGAGCGGTGGGGGCCTCCTGCCAGGGACGGAAGCAAAGGGCCCAGGGCCTCCAACAGCACCCCTCCCTTCTCGGCAGCCTCTCTGCTCCCACCCCGGAATCTAGGCGGCCGCCGGGAGGAAGGAGAACTGACTGCAGAGGGGAGGGAACACAACTATTGCCACAGCAGCTGCCCGGGAAGAGTAAGCCGGGCTGGCCGCAGTGGGGTGGCGCTGGTTTCACCGCCCTTTCTCCATGGCCAGCTGGTCCCCCTCCACATGCCCAGGCAGTCTCACTCTCGCAGTTGAAGCAGCCGGGCCCCATGAGGGAGAAGGCTGAGAGGGAAGCCCTCCCCCCCCACCACCCCAGATGCACAAGGGGGAACAACTCTACACACTCGAAGATACATTAGTAAATTAAAAAATGTCATTTTAAAAAATCCTCCAATGTATTTTTTTTTTAGATGTCTGCAAACCTGGGGCTTTTTCTCAGGTCCATAGAAAGATCGGTCTTGTCTGTCCGTGGCCCCAGTCTCAAGATTTAAGGATCCACAAACGAGGCCACAGTCAGAATTAGCAAAACTGAGAGTGCATACGTATTTACAGTAGTTCTATCATCTTATATTGTGTGGGTGTGTGGTGGGACGGCGCAGACAGTGTCCTCAGCCATCATGTGACTCTTCTGGATGGCAGAAGCTGTGCTTGAGACACTCTGCACACTGTGGAGTGTGCGCCACTGCTAGAGTGGTTCTTCGTACCATGAAGAATCCAATGAAGCTGGATTACAAAAAGATCAAACAAAGAACAGTATACTGCATTCACAGAATTTGGATTTTACAGTTAAGAGAATACTGAACTAAAGACTGCAGAACAAAGATGGAGTCCAGTCAGGCACTTGTAAGCTCAACAAAGTTTCATTCTGGGTATGAGGTGCACACGAACGTTTGCACCCAGAATTCAATGCTGCTGGTCTCAAAGGTGCCTGACCGGACTCAAACTTTGTTCTTCTGCTTCAGCCCAACACGGCCGCCCACCGGAATCTACAGGAGGTAGAAGACCTCAAGTAAACCATGCAGTGGGGGGCAGGGGGGGCTACCTACAAACTTCACAGGGATGTGAATTAAAACTAAGTAACCCTTTACTCTTCACATGGCCCACAGAATTCCATAATTCCATTTTATTACATCTAATTACATTTTATTACATCTAATCTAATACTTGAGGACATGATTGCAGTCTTCAAGTATTTGAAGGGCTGTCATGTAGAAGATGGAGCAGATCTATTCTCTCTTGTTCCAGATTGCAATACTAGATCGAATGGGTGGGAATTACAAGGGAGTCTAAATATCAGGAGAGACTTCCTGTCAGAGTGGTTGAGCAGTGGAACAGACTGTCTGGTGAGGTGGTGGAGGCTCCTTCGCTGGAAGTTTCCAAGCGGAGGCTGGACGACCATCTTTTGGGTATGTTGTAGGGCTATTATCTTTCGGCTGTGCTCCTGCAGAGTGCAGGGGGTTGGACTGGATGACCCGCAAGGTCCCTTCCAACTCTCACATTCTATGATTCTACGATTTCATGATTCTATGAATTCAATTTTGCAAAACAATCAAAGAGCAGGAGCCTCCTGGTGGGTCGTCCCTCCTGCCAGACAGGAGCCTCAATGGAAAAAGCAGGACGCCACCCCCAGAAGGCCCTGCCCAGCTGAGCAGAAAAGGAAAGGATCCTATATGGCCGCGCAGTTTGCGTCTTTCTTCTCCGTAAGCTTCTCACACCTACGTGCATGCACACGCGCCTCGTCTGACCAAACTAAACATGCAACTTTCAGAGAAGTGGGGTCAAGTTCCGGCAGCCACAGAGCGGCTGGGGGAGGGGAGGGGAGAACAGTTAAAAAATAAAGCCCCCCTCCTACTGGGCTCGGAATGCTGCAGGGTTGGCAGCTGCAGGAATGCTGCCTCCACACACACACACACACACCCGCCATTCCCTGGGGCTGCTGTGTATCTGTGGGGCATGCGGGACCCAGCTCTTTAAAAACTGGCACGCCTAGCTTAGCCCGGAGGCTACAACTCGGAAAGCACCGCAAGACTCCTTGTTATTTCTACTGCAAAGAACCGCGGCCTCTCCAGACTCTTCGCAGCAGAACCTCCTCCTGTGGAATTCCCGGCATCTCCATTTCCAAATCCATCCATCCCCCCCCCCCTCAAGATCAACCCCGGGCCTGCTGGGGATGGAGCTGCCGAATGAGAACCTCCCCCAGGCGTTTTCCTGCTGGATTTGCTCCTTTGTCGGCAGCTAATCCGCAAAGGCCTTGTTGCATAACAAAGATTTACTAGATCCTCTGAGTGCCTTGCCGGGGAGGGTGAGGAGGGGGGAGAGGAGCCAACCCGGGTGACCCCCGAGGCTTCAGGGCAGGAGTGGCCATCTCTCAAGGGCTGGTTGGCAGGACACCGACTGGGGAGGGGGCCTCAGCTCCCAACATACACTTTGGGGACAGTCCCGCCTCCCAGAGATCTGCCCCCTTCCTGGGGACGCTGCTGCTTTTGCACAGAGGTAACCCCCTCCCCTGGTCTGCAACCCCCCTTGCTCCCTCCTGTGCCTGCAGACCGCCTCTCTGCATTCCCTTGCACCAGGCTTGGGTCTGAAGCGAGGGTGCTGCTCCTTGGTACCCCTCCCGGGCTTTTCAAGGGCTTCCCAGAGTCAGAGGCTGATTGGGGGTGGCCCTGCCAGGGGCGGAGCTCTGCAGTGGCCCGGATCTGGCGCGGAACTCACGCGTAGGAGTGCAGAAGTACCACGGCCAGGCTGTGGATCCCCTTGGCCAACAGCCCCTTCAGCGGCCCCCGCAGGGCTTCCAGGTCCACAGGTCGCTGCACCACCAAGGAGTCACCCGTCACCCCTGGACAAAAAAAGCAAAAACTAAATGTGAGTCCTCAGCTGGGATTGGACAACCCCCCGCCAGCTCCTCCCCAGAAGCCCAAAGCCACCCTGCCACGGTTCAATGGCCCTGGTCCGAGCATTAGCCCTCCTCAAGCCAGGCCAGACCTCAGGACGGGGCGAGGAGGGGGCAGCGGTTCTGCCCACCCCCAGCCTGCTTAGAGCCCTGAGCGCCACCCTAGTCACACAGGCCTTGCTTACGTCCAGGCTAGACTACTGCAGCACACTCCACGGGAGACTGCCCTGGAAGACGGGTTGGGATTCAGCGGGTGGCCCGTACAGCTCGACGGGCCCTTGCTGCCACGCGCCGCTCCCAGAGGCAGAGCCAGGGCCCACTCCACTTGCGCTGCCTGCCTGGGGGCTTCAGGGCCCCACCCCAGGTGCCGGTTTTGGCCACAAAAGCACCCAACGGTTTGAATCCAGAGCCACAGAGGCACGGTTCCCAGGGCTGTCTGAGCATGCCCATGGCCTGGGATTATCGCCCAGCGCTGGTTGGGACCCACGGGAGGGCTTCTTCGGCCCCTAAGCCCCCGACAACCTGACAGTTCCCTCTCCTGGAAATGAAGTCGGGCCCATCACTGCCGTCCTGCCAAGAGTGGAGCGAAACCTTTTTGTTTCCAGAATATCTTCAAATGGGGTTGAAACTGGGGTGGCCACTCTGAAATTGTTCATGCCCCGGTACGTTACGTTTACTTTATATGATGGTTACGATTAAGTAAGGGAGGGACCCGTGAGGACTTGTAGGCGCATCTCATCTCCCTATATCCCCCCCCCCACACACACACACTATTCCTTCTTTCCCTGGCAGCTCCCCATACAGCCTTTCTTGCCTTCTTCTCTTCCCTGCCCCACACCCGTCTGCAGCTTTTCCTCCTCTTCCAGCCCCTCCCCCTTCCTTCCCGCCACCCCACTTTTTGTGTGCTCCCCCCCCCCTTCAGCTTCTCCTTCTCACCCAGCCCTTCCTTCCCTCTCTCCCATCTTTTACTTTTTCCCCACCTCCCAGCCACTTTTGACTGACAGAAGCCGAGGCTTGGAAAGCTTTGCAATACTGTTTGGGTTGCCTAACAACCCCCAAGATAACCATCTGAGAACGCTGTCTCCTGAGGTTCCAAGATTCAGACATCTCTTAAATCTACAGGCAATGTTTCAATTATCTGCGCGGGGGTGGGGGGGTTAATCTTCACAAAGTTTGCTTGCTTGTTTTAGATTCCAGATTTTCCCGCAGACCTGGGAGTTCCCCTGGGTTTGTGGCAAAGTTCCCCTGGTTTGTCCTTGTCCCCACGGATGTGCGTTTTTTGATCCACACTCTGAGGCCCAGATCGGAATTAGATATTGATCGTGTGTCGACCTACTGTGAATTGCTATAAGTATTTTTTGCTAGAAAGGCAGCGTGAAAATACGCCGAATAAAGATGTGGCTACCTGTGACTGGCTGGCTGTTGGCAAAGAGCCGACATCCTTCCTGATAAAGGATGACACGCTCGTCCACTTCCACGACTTCTTCATACAGCACCTCTGGCATGGACACAGCCTGTGAAGGAGCAGGGGGAAGATTTTTTGGGGGGGGAGATCAACCAGCGGTCAAGACCTGATAGTGGGGGGGGGAGCAGTTACCCTCCCCAGGGGCCACAGCCAGATATGCCAGGAATGTTTCAGGCCTACACAGTCCCAGCTTTTGTGAGCAAGCTATTAAGATTGTTTACATGAATGGAAAATCCCCTTCCTATGCAAATTTGTGCAATACATGAACAAAACCCCATCCTTTCACTACCCTTGGGTGGGACAAAGGCCAGGCAGGTAAAAGGCCTTAAGAGAAAAGTAACTCCCAGGAGGTTCCCCCAACATTTCCACCTGGGGCCGGCCGGCCTCCAAGGCCAAGTGCTCGGGGTGCCTCTTGCTCCCCCTGCTGGCCATCCTAAGAAACACAGGTTCTTTACAATGTATTCCGCAAATTCTTGGAGGGTGGATTGATCAGCCGCGATTGGCCTGAACACGCTCAGCAGCGGGATACCTCCAAATACCAGGAGGAAGAGGACTGGCGTCTTCCTACTCTTGGCTGAATGCTGCCGAGCTCACGGGACTCTGGCCTGATCCTGTCAGGCTACCCATTATTCCCTTCTGGTGGCTACTCTGGCGCTTCCCAGACAGCCTTCCAAGGCCTGCCCCACGGGGGGACAGCAGCGAACGGGGGGGGGGGGACTTCAGGGGCTGAGAACAGCCTGCCCCACTGAGGGCCAGCAGGGGACCAATGCAGAGCAACTGTCCCTGCTGGGGAGGGGGAAAAAGAAGAGGAGATTGGATTTATACCCCATGGCCCTTCGCTACCCAAAGGAGTCTCAGAGCGGCTGACAAACTCCTTCCCCTTTCCCTCCCCACAACAGACACCCCTGTGAGGTGGGTGGGGCTGAGAGAGCTCTGACAGGAACGGCTCTTTTTCAAGGACAGCTCTTATCAGAACTACGGCTTGCCCAAGGTCATCCAGCCAGGAGCAAGTGGAGAAGTGGGGAATCAGACCCGGTTCTCCCAGATCAGAGTCCATGCACTTGACCACACCAAACTGGCTCTGAAGAAGAGATTGGATTTCTACCCCGCCCTTCACTACCCGAAAGAGTCTCAGAGCCGCTTACGATCTCCTTTCCCTTCCCCTCCCCACAACAGGCACTCTGGGAGGTGGGTGGGGCTGAGAGAACTCTTGACAGAAACGGCTCTTTTTCAAGGACAGCTCTAGTCTGAACTAAGGCTTGCCCAAGGCCATCCAGCCAGATGCAAGTGGAGGAGTGGGGGGATCAAACCTGGTTCTCCCAGATTAGAGTCTACGCACTTAACCACGACACCAGACTGGCTCAGGGAGGGTGATGCCCATCAAGGTCACGATGCTGGGGGGGGGAGGAGAGTCATGAGCAGTCCAACACAAACAAACTTGCAGCCTGGCAGGCGGGAGAGAGGGAGGGGCGGTGCCTTAACCTCCAGGAGGCATTAACCAAGTCCACCCTTTTGTTCCAGTACATTGGAGGGGGGGCACTTTCAGCCACCCGCGTGCCCACTGGACCGGAATGCCCCACCGCCTCGGCCAGCCCCCAAGAGCGGCTCAGCTCCCTCCCCCGCGGCCCAAAGGAGATGGCAGGGGTGGCTACGGAACTGGAGCAAAAGCCAAGCAAAAGTTCAGGAGGAGGGAGGAGGAGGAAGGGCTCCCCGCACCCTCCCAACCCCATGCAGGCCCCCGCGGGGACTGACCAGGTCGAAGATCTTGGGCCGGGCCTGGGTGCCGATGCCGAGCAGGTCCTGGAAGCCGCGGGTGATGAGCAAGGCCAGGCGCTCCCCCTTCCTCTCCAGCAAGGCGTTGGTGGCCACCGTGGTGCCCATCCGGATCCACTCGATGCGCGCCGTGTCCAGGGGCCGCTCCTTCGGGAAGGGGGTGCCGCATTCCTGGGGGGAGGGGGGGCAAGGGAGAGGTTAGGAGTGGGCATGGGGGGGTGCCCTTCCACGACACCTGGCACCGCTGGCCCTGGCAAGGGTGGTGTGGGTCCGCCCCGGGCCCTGGCAGGGAATCGGCCGCGGGGAGCAAGGACGCCGCAGCCGGGACAGGTGGGGGCCCGTCCGTCGGCAGAGCGGCCCTCCCTCCCTCCCTCCCTCCCTCCCGCGCTCTGCGGGGCTCCGGGGGACCTCCTCGCCACCCAGGCGGTGTGCCAGGCGGGCCAGCCGAGCGGCCGGCTCCGCGGAGGGGCAGCAGGGATCCGCGCCCCGACGCCCGGCCTCAGCCCACCCCCGCCGCGGCGGCCGTCGAGGAGGAGGAGGAGGTCTTCGCCCGCCCACCTGCTGGAGGATGCGGCGGATGCCCTCGGTGGGCGCGTCGCGGTAGCTGGCCGGGTCCTCGGAGAGCAGCTTCAGCACGCGGACGCGCCCCCCCGGGCAGCGGGCGAAGACGTCGGTGAAGGTGCCGCCGCGGTCGATGGCGAACTGGAAGCGCTCCGGGCCGGACGGCATCTCGCCCTCGCCGGGGGAGGAGGAGGAGGAGGAGGAGGAGGAGGA